AAGTAGACCTTCACAAAACCAGGTTGAAACTACTAATGAATCTGTGTGACCACCATGTCACACACCATGAAGTGCATTATCACAAAAACTAGGTCCGGAGTAAGATTGCACAGAAACATCTCACAGTTCAAGACCAGACCTGATCATTGATCAGCACCATTTCAGCTTCTTGCCAAAATCTCCTGCAGCAACTACTCCCAGCCAAAGTTTACCTGAGTAAAATGACGTTATTTTGAAAAAGTTCTCGGACCTTCAGTTACTTAAACAGGATACACCCGTGCCTTGAATCTTGAAGTCTGCTCCTTAAAAGAGCACACAATGGATCTGTGTGCCTGGGGAACTTGTAACCCTGTTACACCTGGTGCCATTTGAAAATGCTGCTCCGTGCCTAACAAGAGATTATGGAGCCTAACCATGAGCACCCTTTCTTTCAACATTTTGGTCTCTACTGTCTGTAATCTTTTTCTACAATAACTCAATGTGTACACATGATTTATATGTATTACTTTGAAGACGACCTCAGCAGAGCGTTGGATTTGATGCAATTCACTCCACACTCATGAGCACCTCCAAAACTCCCAGGTCAGCATCCTTCACCACTAACGGGTAAGGGGAAAAAAAATCCTAAAACAAACATTTAATCTGCACAGATTACAACTGTACAAATCCACAGTACAAGTGCACAGAAGCAAGTAGTGATTCCTTCCTGCGAAGTACACTCCCTGAAAACAGCATATGATAACTTATATAATCTCAATTCAGGAAAAATAAGGCATAATTATACTTTCCTCTTACTCTAGTCCACTAATTAAAAAGATGCAGCTCTATTTGCTTACATTCAGTGCCAATGATCAGCTTCCCAGGTACCAATGTATTTTCTGTAAATGGGGTTTTAGAATAGAAATCTTATACTTTTCCTTTATCTTTAAGTGTTGTCCATTGGGCATGTAGTGGCACTGCGAGATTATACAGCTACTCACCGGCTAGTTAAAACTAGTTCAAGACTAGCTCAACTCCCCTGCAATGACTACAGCTAAACTTGAATAAAATATTGAAATGCTCTACTGTAAGCCTTGTTTTATTACGAAGCATTTCATTTCATACTTAGAAATGCTGGTTCGATTCTAAAAGTAACACTAAGCCTCGTTCTACTTTGTGTTGCACCTCTTAAATATCTTCAGAAGACTAGATTTCCACACCCTTTCCCCAAAGTGCAATCAAGTTGTCTGGATACCCTGTGCAAGCCTCACACACCCACCCTAGCACCCACCACCAGCCAAAAAGAACCCCAAACAGCATTTAATAAAACCTTGTTTTAATAGTAGGACTGGCCTTTTCCAAAATTGATGTGACATACATTTTCTTGTTGTTCCATTGCAGATGTAACTTACCAGGAAAAAGCCTGGCAACCATGATGGATCCTGCAAGATCTTCAAGAGTGAATCACGATGATTACTACAAATGCTGATTTTACAACTGCAAGAAAATATCACGAGTCCCCATTTTAACAACTTTGTATTTTATGTTCTAAACTGTATGGGATTTTTTCCTATTCCACTTTACCACAGTCAAACAAAATATTTCAAAATTAGCAAGTTTTTCTAACATTGGCGTTGTGTTCCTTTACACAGAGGTAAAAGGCATTGGCCCATGCTTTGTGGTTTAGAAACTGAAAAGTATTTCTACTGGTTTACTCCATCTGGCATCACAGCAAGACACTTGTTTTGCAAGTTAGTTTTACCAAAATGTTTGGGCTTTCTTAAGTTAAGCTGTACACTTCAGCTAACTTGTTTCTTATAAAAAAGCTGAAGCAAGCCTAGATTGTCCCTTTTACATAAAACATGGCAACTTTCTTTTAAAGACTATCTAAAAAGAAAAACAGTGGCATCGTTAACGGTCTAGCTCTGTTTATCTAACAACAAGATGGCAAAAGCCTTTCAACTGGTCACCCATCCAACCACGTGCTATTCTTCCACTTCTGTTACTGAAAATTAACATCAAGGATGCTGAACCATAGAAATATACCAGGAAACCTTTAATGTCCAAGACTTTGTTCATAACTATCCCAAGCACCTTTTCTTTTTGCCTCACTTTGCATCTTACCAGGTTGAGACCCACACCCAAATTGCTTGTTCAATTAAAACAGAAAAGCCAAACAAAAACCTCACAACTTGGTATTTGGTCCATCTACACCCAATCAGCACAATGTTTTTGTGGAACATTTATCATACTAATTGCCTGACAACCACTTTTTACTGTGGTCATGGGCCACATTAGTATTTCCATGTAATAAGACAGACAAGAAAGCGGTGTTTGGTGCAATACAGAGACTAAGGGCAGATGCAAGAAATACGGAGGATAGCCTCCAAATTTAAGTTCACCTGGGGATAGTGCTCAGCTTCTTCAGAACTATAGGTATAAAACAACCAGATTAACTCATATTATTGCTTTCTAGAACTGCACACTGATATTGTACGATAGCACCTTTTTATTGACCAAATAAATATCCTTTGGTTTTTCATGACACAAACCTCTACGTGAAGGAGGGAATGGAAGGTTTGTCCAGGGCTGCGAAGTTTCCAAAGTAGTTTTGCAAGACTACTATATGCATCGATAAAACCTGAGTGCTGCTGTCAGTCATATCTAAGCTTAAATTTCACTGCGATAAAAACATTGCTTAGCTCACAGTGCAAGGTACAGAGCTGCCCATTACTCATTTAGCTACAAGGAGCAATGAATTCTAAATTACTTAATTAAAACAGCAAAACTGTAATTTGCCAGGACGCCCTATGCGTGGCACTATGTCACTAGTGCCATGTGTGAATCAGCTGTGCAGCACTTCTCGAGGTAGTCCTGATGATGTCACGGTGTGTAGAAGGGTGGCCACGAGCACTTTCCCGGTAACATGTTGTTTGGATTAGCCCATGAAGTGATACCAAACCATCTTTAGAGTCAATCTTAGTGCCCAAGGCACTAGGTTTTTCTTTTTGGATTTGGTGACAAGATTTTGTGTATTTGTGAAAGACCTATTACACACACGTATTTGCAGCTTAAAATGACTCTTGTTTACGACACACGCAGCAACGAAAAATATATCCACAACTGGTAACATACTGTTATAGTGAAACAAGAACTTACCTGTTTGAAAACACTTGACAAACAACAGTCATAAACTACTACTGCACTGATATTTACTGGAGGTTCCACCAGCACCCATCCCTTTAACTGTTTTTTTCACAAAGCTAGTAACTGAAAGTTACACAAGGCTAGCCTTAGTCTAGCTTTCTTTCTACCACCTACATTTTTAGGAATCATATTTTCAATTTAATATTCGCACCCTTAGACCATCCCCAAGCTCAGACATACCTGCAGCATGAAGCCCCGCTTTAGCTCTATAGGTGAAAATGAGATGGATCATCCAGTTAGTATCGTGGCTCTGATTCCGAACATACTTTGGACAACAGGTAAGTAGAGAAAACGTATTACTGGAATTAGGAAGAGAAAACTGCTTAGAAATCTAATTAAAGAGAAATTTTAGACTATTACTTAGCATGCATTATTAGTGTCTGTACACGCTGAAAACTGCTGTCTTCAGTAAAAAAAGGAAGGGAAAAAGCCTAGAAATTAATAGCAGATTCTCAATCATAGTAGTAATTAACATTACAAATGCTACCAAAGGTAAAACAAAGAATAAGCGTGATCTGTAAACCAAGGACTGATACCAGCAAACTTGGAGCAAAACCAGCTTGTATCACCAGCTCAACAAGAGACGTCAGCCTAGGAAACAGATTCTTTTAGGGATTTATACTTCACTAGCAGAGATGCTGACATCATCTGGAAAACCAGTACAGTTATCTAAATATAAGTATCACTGCTTGACTATCAAAACTCAGAGTTTTAAAAGTAATGCAGAGTTGTGTAGTTGCTAAATGTTTTGAGAACAGATGGGTTAGGGATAGGTAAAAGATGAGCAGCTCTTCCAAACCTTCTCCTTCATATTCTCCTGCATGTAGAAAGACTAAAGAAACACGAGTTTGAAATATTCCAGGATGATCTTAGTCCTTGGGTGTACATGAGTACGAGAGTCCACAGTATGGATTCTTCTCCCCAATGGCAAGCACCAAAACATGTAGGACAAACAGCAAAGTAATTATCTAAGCACATCTGCTAATGAACGGAGACGCACCGATAAAATGCTTAAAGCCAGTGTCCTAGGACAAAACTAGCATTACATTAGTTACCAAGTACTCACCGTGTCTACAGGTGCTTCGACTGCCGCGTCAGTGAAGAAGAGTTTATGATTGGATAGGAAGACCATCAAAGCAAAATTGAGCTGTAGTTCCAGAATCTTTATGTATTGGAGCTACTTCTGATTGAGCCACCAAGGTCCCCTGGATCCCAGAAGTCTGGGAATTCAGATAATATAGCTGCTTGGTGCCGGGAGAGATTCATTTTGAAAATTGTTTTAGCTGTATGTTTTTTTAGAGGTCCTAAGAGGTAATCTACAATTCTGCAAAAGTGTGGTTGGTACCCGGGCACCTTCGCAGATGCATTAACATCGGTCTGGTGTTTCACAGGACAGAGTTTACACATCAAAACTGAACAACTTGATTTATTTAAAATTCACCTCAAAATGCATTGTGTTTAGTTTCTTTTTTAAAATGGACATTCAAAGCATCAAAATATTACTAATTTAAAAAGAACCTTTGTTAAGAATAAGATAATTTACATACTGTAGGTTGTGGCTGTGAGGGGAGAGAAACAACCAGCGGTAGATTAGGCACAGTACTAAGGCCAACATGCCAGAAAACAACACAGCTCGACACTCAACTTTTAAAAGACCTGGACAAAAACAATTGGGTGGGAAAATAAAACCACCACTTACTCAAGGGTGTTTGTGTAAAAAACAAAAAAAAGGTGTTAGTAAGTTTTCTACCTAGACCTAACTCACTCACATATTTAAAGAACCCTATCTTCTTCCAAATAACAAAAAATGTTTCTAAACCAAGGCAGATTATTATTTGGAACTGGCATAGTAAAATAAAAGATCACAGTATACAGAGCTTAAAATCCTGTACCAGGAAAGAGCAACAAGTGGGATCATTTAAGTATGTTATCTAATTTTTAAAAACAGAGATATAAAATATCAGTTGCATAGGGATTTAAATATAAGGCCAAGCAGGAGATTAAAGTAACAGAGATCGTAAGAAGGGCACTATGGTGTCAAAACATAGTATTTCCATTTGAATTAATGTCTAATTCAAAATCACAGTATTTTGCTAGTACTACAAACAGTGAATGTCAAACTGTCCCATTTATCTTGAACTCAAAACTGACATTAGAACTTCTAAACAGTAAAAAACTAAAGCTCATTGTCTAAACCTGATCAGTGAATTAGCACAACAGTGCTTGGTACGTACCTGATTTATATACTCTACCTTCTGTAAATAATATAAAGGTTATTTCATGTTAATACATGTGAGATCACAATTTTACTGCATGCCATCAGTGGTTTGCAGGCTTACTTGATATTTAATTATTCAGTCTTTAAAAGTGTAAGATCCCACCCTGCAGAATCTTCACCCATTGAACACAGAACACTGTCATTAATAAAATACAATAGAAGTTCCACCACTACTAACTAACATAAAAGCCAGGATTGTATGTCTAAACCCAGTACAGTTCATTATTATTAACTCACAGCAATTTTTGTTAGGAAGGTAACCTGTAGACTTCCAAATAATCTTGCATGTATTAAATATAAACAAGTATGTAACTAACGGTCATCTCTTGGCATTTCAAGTAGATTATTCAATTGTGAAAGTATTTCCGCAAAAATCAATTTTAAGTTGTTAAAATGAAGTTCAAATATTAATTTCTGTATCTACATGTAGCTTAATTAACCTAAAATTGTAAGGAATAGTAGTGTAAGGAAAAAAAAAATTCTCCAGATGAATTAGGCGTTAAGGTACACTAACCCGGAATACCTGAACCAACATTGTAACTGAAAAAGTGCATAAACATAGTAATACTACAAATGTGTTAACTACAGAACAAAAGGTTTTCTGAAAGCTAAGTGATACTATTTTACATGTTATTTACAGGCTGCAATTTTTCCAGAGACCACATAGCCACTTTTATGACCTCAAAATTCCTTTGATATATTTGAAGTGTCCTTTGGCTTCCATCCTATTCGGTCAAGAACCTATTCACACACCAGTGAAATCAGGTACTGTACAGTCCAACAACATTGCCATTGTGGTTCTGCAATTCTTCAAAATTCACTCCTTTCTGTTCTTTCAAGAAAAAGCAGTATTTTCATTTCACACTTTTCGTAGGTGTTTCAGATTCTGTAGACTGCCTCCCATCAGTCCATGCCTCACGTGTGCTCTTCAACGCTAGCGTTTTCTGCTGGTCAACCACAACGTAATCAACTCTTTCATCTGCCACACTGCTGCCTGAGCCACTGCTCTTTTTCTGGGAGCGGCAAGGGAGAGTGAAAAACATGTTAAAATTAATTAACAACAAAAAGTAAGTAGCTGTTCCAAACGGATATAGAACAAGCATAGGTTTGTCTGAAAGATGCAAATAGGCTCTTCAATTGACCATTTGACAAACTAGTTAAGATGATCTTGCTGGAGGCTCCCTCTTTTCCAGCAACTACCTGTGTGAAGAAATTTTAAACTCTTGATGGCAGAAATGCAAGAGGAAGATCTGCTTACCTTACGAGGTGGGGTAGATTTTCCCGAATCTAGATCCAGATCTAAATATTCTACTTGTTTATCTCCTTTAGGTTTTACCATAGGGCTGCTTCCTCCATCAAGACTGTTGCTTCCAAACAAATTCTGAAATTGTAATATAAATAACTTCAGCTACAAATGTACATGCTAATGGTCCACATTATCAAATACACTTATTATAAGCTGCCAAAATATTAAAGGTTAATGAACTGACTAAGAGGCCTTGCAATCAGTTAAACCATGCCAATTTGATTGACACTGTATAACAAGGGGATAGATTCTAAGTCAAAATTGGGACAGAGACAAAATCCAACAGGGCAGGGGGGTGGGGGAAACTCCCAAACCAACCCCCTCAAATTTAAGGTTGCCACCAAACAGATCTGTGTCTTCCACCTAATGTCCTTTTCATATCATAAGAATGGAGCGCGGTTTGTTCTTTTTAAATGAAGTTGTTACATCTCAAATTTAATATTACTTAATTACAAAATCTTTTATTTCCTTAAATTGCTGTTCAATACCTTACAAGAATTTCAGCCTTACAATAGTGGCAAAACTTGAAATGAAACTTAGGCATTTCATTCAAAAGCCATCATGATCAAGCTGAAAATCAAAATGTATTATTGAAGTGATAAGACCAAAAGATTAAAACTTAGGAAAACTTGGGTAGGGCTGTGTGAACTCAAGCTCCATTGTATATACCTAAATTTCAATTAGCCCAGACTTTTACAACCTCACCTCCTCTGTCCTCTCCCAGCCTGATCCCTCCCTCTTAACAGGTGTTATAGGAACAGTACAATAGAAGGACTCTTCTCTAAAAGATAAAGAAAAAAAAAGGAAGACAGAGGGCAGCAGTCAGCAAAAAATGAAGAGGAAGGCAGCAGGAAAGACGGAAGGGTAAGGCTGTCAGCAACTTGAAAGAAAAAAGCAGAATATTGCCGATTTTATTAAATAAACCAGAAGTATGACAAGTCCAAATAAGATCCTTCGAAGCTGATGACAGAAAAAGATGAAAAAGTATGGACTCCTTTCTAAGATGCAGTTGGAACAAATAAAAATCTTAAAAGCATCTATGTAATTGGCACATTTTAAAACAAAGGCCTTGAGATTTCTGGAAACATTCAGGTTCTCTAGAAAATAAAAAAAAAAATTATGGGTTAAAGCCTAAGAGGCTGGGCTTTTTAAATTGAAGGTATCCATTACATCTGTATCGTCCAACTCATTTAAGTGGTAACAACGACAAACAAACAACTGAGACAAAGTTAATTTTTGTTGCCCAAGTTCTCTAAACAAATTTCTGCATATTTTACATACAAAAATCAGGTTCTGTATCAATGTTTCCAGCATAAATAAAAAAAGCTATTACTCTTTAAACAAAAAATAATCTGTTATTTCAAACAAACTCAACAGGCAGAACATATGCATTAGAAAACAGAAACTTTAAATATGTAAATGAAAATGAAGGGAAGTCTGTAGAGCAACCTTAAGGAATGAACAGTGCAAGCAAACAGAAGATATTAACAACAGGCTGCCTGAGCTGTGATACTATATTGTCGTTAAACCCCTGAAAGAGCACTGTGCAAGGAATCAACAGAAACCCTCAGTTTGAACCTGCCACCGGAGAACTGTGGGCACAGGCCATTCTAAACAGTTGCGTAAAATGGGATGTTTCTCACAGCCACGGAATAGGACGTTACTGATTACTTACCAATCAGTCTCTCACAAGAGAGGAGCTAAGTTTCTATGCCATCTACCCCACTGCTGAAGGGCACTTCACCTGGGAAGTGCACCTGTGCTGCTGGCAGGTCAGACAGGGCACAGAGCCCCGGTCAGGATGCTCCAGAGGCTCAGGAGCTTGCACCCAGTCAGAGCTGCTGCAGAGACTCAGCAGGAGAGGCACCCTCAGGGGGACCCAAGAGGCAGTAATGGTGAGCTGGAGGGGAGGGAGACTGGAGAAGACCAGGGCAGGTACCCAGAGCAGCAGGGGATGGGGAAGCAAGCAGCACTGCAAGAGGAGCAGAGTCCAGGGCATAGTGCAATGGGCTAGCACATGCCATATTAGGAGGTAGACAAACGAACAGCACAAAAGAGGTGCTAGACAGGCCCTCCCCAAAGGTCTTTCATAATGCTTTATAGATGAAAAGCATTGCTGTATTCTCTACTAAAAACCCAAGCCATAAAGATGTGGCAAATGCATTGAACTATAATGCTGAGCTCAAGACACAGGTTTTCCTCCAGTGCTTTAGGGATATTCTGGACCACATTTTAGTTTAGGCCTAGCTTTACTGCTACTCTCTTACTTTAAAATAATGTTACTGGTTCTTCTCCTCTTTCCCCTTCCCTCCCAACCAAACAAAAACCACAGAACATATCATTAACTTTTCTTAACTAGCTCCACACTTACTGCACTGCAAGCTGAGTCTCAAACTTTATTATCTGAGAAAATTTTCCCCCAAAGGAGAAAAATATAGATTCTAAATACACAAAAATCCCTTCTATACTTGTTTTTGAAAGAACACTAATAAAAGTACCTAAAGCTCAGTTTTTATAGAATGTAAACAACAATCATCAATCTTTGTTTTTTAACCTATTCTGCCACAGTTCGTGGAAAAAGTTCTATTAATAAAGGTTTTTAAGCATGTCTCAGAAGTCCCAAAACAGTTTATTTCCCTAGATGTCATAATACTGAACTGGTACATAGCCAAGGACAAGCAATTACAAATAGGAGAGTTTAAAAAAAGAAAAAAGAAGTCATGTGTATTGAACTGTTTTGTACAATAGATATGTATATTAACCATCCTCTTTATATAGGATTATGCTTTTAACTTCTTCAGTGAAATCTTAGCAAAATCACAGGTTTTCTATGGAGATTTTTAAAATTATTATTTTGATCTAGAAAGCAAGTGATGTCAAGTGAAAGGATCTGTGTTCGCATGATTTAAAGGAAGGACTGCGCAGGAAGAGAGTAGTTAATACGTAGATTTTACATACTGGGTCTTCAGTGGACTGATTTGGATTCATGGATACATAATTCTCTTCACTGTCGTGCGAATCACTGCTGGAAGTTGTGCTATGAACTGAATCCGGTCTGGGAGACATGGGAAACCTGGAGGAGCTAATTACCAGGAATTATTTTACAAACAATACATCTCGAATATCTTAAACCTCCTGGTAAACAACAAAAATAAGTATATTAGAGCTGAAATTTTCATTCAAGTTTACTAGAGTGTCACTTCTTTTAGTTATATACAGTCCCTTATATTTAATATGACAGAATAAAAATTTGTATGGACACACCTTGCTTCGATGCACGTGAGCATATATACACACCCACACACATATACAAATGCACACTTCCAAAGGAAACTTCAATTTGTAATATACCGGCTAAAAATATAATACGGAAGTACACACATTTATTAACACTCTAGTCAACAAAAAGAATTAATCTCAAAGAGGAAAAGCTAAGAAACTTACTCTCGTGCAAAGCTTCTGGTGATAGGAGATCTAACTGGGGCTTGTAATTCTTCCCATTCAGGCAGAGGTTTTATTTCTAGTGGAGCTGGTTTTGCTATAGAAGAAACAGACAATCTTAAAGCACAGAACATTCCTAAACAAACTTGAATGTAATAGCTTTTCAAAGCCTTAATACCAAAAAATACTATTTTTTTAAATAGTAAATGTCCTAATTGGGAAAAGGAGACACTGTTCAGTTCTCAGAAAGCCATGATATATTAACTTATATTTTTAATCTTTCCAGGTACTGAAAAGCAGCTTCAATTAGAAAAGAACCCACAATTTAAGAATTTTGCAAGATATACTTCTATGTAGGAATTCTGTTTTGAAAAGAGACTCTGAAAATGGCAGCATCATGTTCACTCTGCCATGACGACTTGCTGAACTCAGAAGCCCAGGATCGGGCTGATGGACTGTTTCAGCAGAGCCAATTCTTTCCTTGTCTTGCAGACAATTACTATTATGCAAACTTTGCCCTCGCTGCATACATGTACCCTTACTGGTGAGGTGTCACAGCTCCAAGTGTGGGCTGAACCTGCAGCTAAGACTAAGTCTGCAAAAGTGAGATGAGCCAAAACCCAGCTTCAACTCCAAGAAGTGCTTGGCTTGCTTCAGTGCTTACCAATGGACAACCACAGCAGCAACGTGTTTGTGCCACTAGTGAGAGTTAACACTGTTCTCGAAAAGATGCCATTTTTAAATTCCATTTTCAGAACAGAACCACAAATAGATGATTAGTGAGAAACACACTATCTGTCTCTCCAGCTTGTATGCTTCACACCTCCTAAACATTTTGTGTGTGCATGTGTGTGTAAAAGGACTTGTGGGGAGAAAAAACAATTTAAAAAATTCACACAAACTGCTGTCACAGTTTGAATCTCAATTTCATCTTCCCTAAAACTGTTTTTAGAAAATAAAATGCAATGTCATTACAATAACAGCCCTTTCTCTCCTTGCCCTCCCCCATTAGTTTGCTGCCGATTAGCAGATTTACCAAGGTCAAATGTCAGGCCTAGGGCTCTACTTCATGTGGAGTTAGAGCTGTCCTAAGTGACCACATGAGGAACTGACAGGGATCAGTTGCTTAATCAGTGTGGTTGTCTCACAAGAAAAAAGCAGAACTGTACTCCACACAATTTCATTATACTCATTTTTCAGATTGCATTTACTGAAAAGTCAGCCATTATATATACTGAAGATAAGGACCCCCGATTCAAATTTTCTGGATAAGTATCAGTCTTTAGCATCCCAAATGGTTTTCTGTTACGAAGTCATAACTACATAATGCTGTAAGTTTTGACACTCAAAGTATATCAAGCCTACTCCAGGAATTCCGCCACTTTACCTCACTTGCTCATAAAAAGCTGTCCCCACAGACTCAGAAGAGGAACTACAACTCATCTCTAGATATAAAGAGATATAAGAGTGGCAGATCTGAACTTGACTTAGGCAAGATGACACAAAATGATGAGCTTGGCTCAAGTCCTCTGTAGAGGCCTGAGAGTACCTGGTGTATATAACTGGTGAACAAGGTACTGCTCCAGTCGAAACAGTCAGGACTTTGTCCAAAGCACACTGAGAACAGCTGGAATATTTCATCTAGTTGCAATGGGCTTCAAAAACCCAAGGTAATGAGGAGTGACTCTTTTGTGAGATCACTGACATTATTTGTAATCTCCTCTACTTCTTGTGACTACATAAGGCACCACCTCAGCACCTTCAATAAAGCCCAGCAGTGCTCATTAAGATGCATAAATAAATCTCTGTACTAGCAAGTGGTTAGGGGATTGGTATTTTGCTGTATTTCAGTGTTTATTTGGGTCTCCTGCTGTTGGCTAAACGGTGGTTTCAGGTTATTGCCTACCAAAATTTATTTCAAGCAACCTACAGTTAAGTTATATATACTAATTTCTAAATAAGCAGACGAGAGTCAATTCAAAGTATGAACAGCTACATCTTAAGAGATCAGAACACCCATGTTCATATTAAGGACATGTTTTTAATGTGCTGTTCGAGCCAGAAAGACTTTAATTCCTAATATAGGAACTTTATGCCTGGCAAGGAAAATGTATCTCAGATTACAGCAGAAGTAAAAAGGCTATATATAAGTTAGTTATCCTAGAATAACAGTTTTTTTAACTTTTGCTTTACTTAATTTTATAAATCCCCATATACATACAGTGCTAAAGTACATACCCTTTCTTCTTGTAGTAAAGTCACCTATGGTTTGTGAATCAGTTCGCTCTAAACCATGTGGTTTAGGTCTTAAAATTTTAGGACTTTGACCTAATTGGTAAAAAGAAGACTCTCTTAATAATATTCTATTTGTAACAGGACAATGGAATTTTGTAAATAAACAGCACAACCCCCTGCAGAAAGGTTAATGCCACAAGCATAAGCAAGCTGCTGAAGGAGAGTTTTACAGTCTAGCTAGGTCTCACACTAAGGGCTTAAGCACCAAACCAGAAAGAAAGAAAACATTGCATGCAAGTAATTCGTTGGAGGCAAGCATAAAAGATGTATAAAAAGGCTAAAAAGTGCATGAACAAATACTGAAACTAATCATTACTATTAACTGATTTCAAGTTGCATTACATTAAAAAATTCCATATTTGAGAAATATCTAGCATGACTAGAGAATAGTCATGATGTAAGCTGAAGTACCCTCAAAGAAATTAAACCCTCTTTAGTTATATTAGTTACATTAGTTTTGAAACAGTGATACTCTCGGGAGGTCTCCTATCCACTGTGCATTTTCCACTTGAGAAGCCTCAGGAATCATAGAATGGTTTGGGTTGGAAGGGACCTTAAAGATCATCTAGTTCCAACCCCCCTGCCATGGGCAGGGACACCTTCCACTAGACCAGGTTGCTCCAAGCCTCATCCAGCCTGGCCTTGAACACTTCCAGGGATGGGGCATCCACGGCTTCTCTGGGCAACCTGTTCCAGTGCCTCACCATCCTCTCCGTGAGCAATGTTTTCCCTGATGTCCAATCTAACTCTACCCACTTTCAGTTTAAACCTGTTACCCCTTGTCCTGTCACTACAGGCCCTTGTCAAAAGTCCCCCTCATCTTCCTTGTAGCCCCTTCAGGTACTGGAAGGCTGCAATAGGGTCTCCCCAGAGCCTTCTCTTCTCCAGGCTGAACAAGCCCAACTCTCTCAGCCTGTCCCCATAGCAGAGGTGCTCCAGCCCTCTGAACATCTTCGTGGCCTCCTCTGGACTCGCTCCAACCGGTCTATATCCTTGTGATGTTGAGGGCTCCACAGCTGGACACAGCACTCCAGGAGGGGTCTCATGAGAGCAGAGTACAGGGGCAGAATCCCCTACCTCGACCTGCTGGCCACGCTTATCTTGATAATCCTAGGGTATGGTTGGCTTTCTGTGCTGCCAGCACACACTGCTGGCTCATGTCCAGCTTTTCATCCACCAGTACCCCCAAGTCCTTCTCTTCAGAGCTGTTCTCAATCCGTTCTCTACAACACTTTTTCCACACTGCACTGGTTAAGCTTGTACCCCAGAGGTCTGTATCTCTCTTTAGCAAACACACCTCTCCAACTTAGCAGACACATGGGAACTTTCCCTTCAAGCTCCCAGCCTGCCTACAGTCCCCCCATCATGGCACAACACAGCCTCCACCACAAATGACCCTGTCATAAATTTACATTCTCTAAACCCTTTTTTAATTGTATATAATCTATATACTAGTGCAGTATATGCACTAATCATTCCTCATACTATTAGCTATCCTCAGTCATGCTATTACACAACATAACACTTCAGATGAGTCTGATAACAAAGTGAAGAGTACAAACAAAGTCAACAGTGGGGTCAATAAGCCCTGTAAGTCCCTACAGGCAGTAATATAACCTCTCCCCCAACACAGTTCTTAGCCAACTTGACCAAACTCTGCATTTCGGGTCACATTGTCTATTTTAAATAAATATGACCAATAATGCATAATAACTCTTATGTGTCATAGAAGTGTATCTGAGAAAGTGTTAATATTAGAAAAGGCAAGTGCCTTCGAGTGGCACAACAACAAGGTATATGAAAGGTAAATCTTTACAATAAACCAAATGAAAAGTTTAAGTCCGCTTATGTTAGAAAGTTGCCCTGCAGCACAAAATGGAAAAGGACAGGTACAGACTCAGATGTGGGCTGGTACTACCAGCAATGAGTGAGAATCCTTTGTGAAAAATAAACTTGGCAACAAACACCAGGAATTTGCAAATCTCTACCCCAAGGGTTTTGCATATGAAGTGCTCTATTACTGTTATCACTGAAGTATTGGGAATAATCAACTAACAACAAGAAAGGTAAACAGATAGGTTTTGTACTGGATCTTAACTTCTACACAGTGCTTCTGAGACACCATGCACATAACCCTACATCTATTTATTTACTAGTAGTGCTGCACAGCAACATCCTTAAAAAGCAAAGGACATGAAATGACTTTTACACAGACAGTTCTTCTCCAGTTTCAAAATCAGATGCTCCCTTAAGTGTCTCAACATGCCAGTGAAAAGACCAAGCAGTTGGGCAATGCTGACCAAAGACCCAGATTGTAAAGTGGTACACAAAACATTTCCATAAAGTATGCTGTTGACTGGAGCTAAGTCGAAAACATGACCTAACATGTTGGCACAGTTCGTTCTGAGCTGATTCGATATTCTTGCCTACAACTCTACCATAAAAGTTTGCCTATATAAAAAGGCCAAGATCTTAAATCGATTGAACAAATGTGGAAGAGCAAATTCAAACACCTTTTATTAAGAACAATTTGTTGCTGAATATCATTACCTAACACATTAACTTTGTGTTCCACAGTTTTATAATTGGATTTAAAAGAAATTTGGCCCTATGCAAGTCAATTTAAAATGCCAATCAATGCATTGACATAAGAGCGCAGATTGTAAGTACAGTAAGACATCTAGCAAGGCTAACAGGGTTAATGAAATTACTTAACCAGTGTGTACTTTATAACCTTGCTGCTCTTACAGCCAAACATATGTCTGAGTGCCTGAAACCCGTAACACAGAAGATAAGCACATG